GACGATGAGTTTGCAAAACATGCAAAAGACTTTAATGACCAGATGAAAGGTGAAACAATGCATTTAAATAGAGTCGATGGAACTAAAGAAAATGTTTCTTCTCCACCAGTAGTTCTTCCGTATGGTCCCTATGGAATGTATGGAAACCCTTACGAAAGACCATTTGACCCATTGACTGGTGGAAGTAACTGGTATCATTACGGACGAAGAAGAAAGACAGTTAAGCTGGAGACAGACGTGAAGAAAGCAACTAAAAAGAAACCAAGGAAGAGAGTTATAAAGCAATGAATTCAACATGGTTAGAAAAGAGGTTAGAAAACGTGTTAGATCTAACATTCTAACATAAAATTATTTTTGTGCTATGTTTTCATACGTGTGAGGGTGGTGATATCATTAATTTTTATATAAATGACAGAACAAAAATATAACATTTCTACTCAGCAGGAATGAGACCCTTACTGACTATGTATTCGTTTAATGCTTGATGAAAACAATGGTACATATTATCGTATGGGTATACACAACGTCTGTTTCCATCGTCGTCGTATATGTAGAGCTCAAATCCAGTCCAACCTTCTTTTGTACAATATGTAGCTTTATTTAAGTATGCATTTATGTAGATAAGGCAATTTTCTTCATCGCTCCAGAAATAATTTTTCGTCATTGTTGAAATAGTTTTCGTTCCTCTGCGACCATAAGGAATGTATGCAATGAACTTTGCGTCATATGGGATTGTAATATATTCAGGGTTTCTTTCATCGTCAATGGGTCTGTCTTTGTTAAAATGCATGTTTCTCAGTTTTACTTGAGTTTTGAATAGTTCACGGAAACGTTCTGGGAAAGAGTCATAGTAAATGTAGTCGGACATGTCTTTGTAATGAAATAAAAATTTAAAAAAATAAAAATAAGTTATTTTTATTTAGTGAGGACGGTAGTGAAGTCGTTAGTGAAGTCGTTAGTGAAGTCGTTTATGTATCAGATGGTTTTGTAAATATTTAAGGTTAAGTTGGTGTTTGTGTTTGTGTTGTAAAATATACGTTACCGGTTTTGTAAAGTGTCAAACCGTTAACTTGGGTAAGGTGGAACGCAGTGCCGCCGTACCCAAGTTAGGGATACTAACTGAGTCAACATACCTACAGCTAAAGGTTCTTCACATGACGACTATGTTGTTGACAAAGACTTACCATGGTTGAAGATTGTAATTGTCCACAACCACTTCATGTTGAACGAAAGTCTTACAAACCCATTCTTTGGTAAAAGTAAGTGCAACATTGTCAGAGCTGTAAACATTCTTTTCGAGAAAGGTTTGTTGGAACCAATTCCAGATGACAAGCTGACAGAAACTTTTGTACCAAAAGACGAAACAAACTTTTCATTGTTAGCAAGACCAAAAGTTGTTCCAGACAAAGTTCTAGTACAAAAGAAGTACACAGTTCCACAAGGGGTTGGTATGTTCGGATACCAACCTGAACCAGAAGAACTTCCAATGAGGTTGCAAGAACTTCAAGATGCTATAAACAAACTTCCATTGAGACATCCAATTGACATCAAATTGTATTGGAGAGCATCTGAGTTAGGTCAGAAGGTTTTATATGAAACAGGTTGCTTCGACGATGTTTATGAGATAACAGGAGAAGTTTCTCAGAAGATAAGAGACTCACTTGAATTTCCACAAACTGGACCAATTGGTTGCGACAAGTTCGACTCAGATGAAAAGATATACTATGTCGACCTTAACGCTGCATACATGAGGTTTGTCCAATATATTCCGACTGGAATTCCAAACGAAGATGGTGAGTTCCCGGGAAGGAACTATACAGTTGGAAAAGTCATACAACAACTGTATGATATTAGGAAAGCTTCAAACCCAAACTTGCAATGACACTCAAATTGCTTATGAATTCGACATGGGGATATTCCATTAAGAAACCTCAAGAGATGAAGAGTAAACATTATGAGAAGGTCGACAACTTTGTTGAAAGGTTTTCTCCTTTTGTTTTGAAGTACGAATTCACTCAAGGTCAAAGTGGCTTAGTAACCACATTAAAACCTATTGTCGAACATTGGTCTTACCCTCAGTTCGCAAAAGCAGTCCTTGACAACTACAACAAATTCTTCTCCGAAGTCAAATCCAAAGTCAAGGTTTACTATGAGAACATTGACGCACTCATGACGAACGAAGAAGGATACAACAAACTCATTGAACTGGGAATGGTCGGTGAAAAGATGGGTCAATTCAAATTGGACAAAATTTTCACCGAAGTTCATGTCCTCTCCAAGCGTAAGTACTGGGGTGTTAAAGAAGATGGTGAAATAGTTAAACATTGCATGAAATAAAAAATTTATTTTTAAAAAAGTGATATTTTTTTTAATGGCGTACATCCCTGAGCGCTTCGTCCAGTTCAACCAAATGTTGGTCTCGGACCCAGGCAAGAGATATTCCAAGCCCGAACTCGACCGTCTCTTCAAAGAATGGATTGAAGACTACAGAGGAGACGAGTGGTTGACAATTGAATTTGCTCGGGCTTGGAATTGCTACAGAAGGGTCTTAGACGTGGACCCAAGACTCACGTACAGAGGTTGGGATGTGGTCTTCACATTCCAAGATTGGTACGAATACCAAAAATAAAAACTTAAATTTACTTGGGGTTTCCCCCTAAAATAATTTTTTACTCTTAGAACCACTCGAGGTTCTCCTTACGGTTGTTGAGCTTGTCACCGTCAATGTGTCTGACCTTCGTCTTCTTGTCTGGATTTGGAACCCATTGAATTGCGACAAGATTGCCCATGGAGATTGAACCGCGATTCCGAAGGTTAAGGTTCAAGTGTCCCAAGTTGTTGAGGACTGGGGTAAGAACCTTGCCTGTCTCCTTGTTGCGGATTTGGTATGGGTAGGGTTGGGAAATTTCGTAACCGTCATCGGCAACAAGGGTTGCCCATGTAGCGGCTTCAGGAACTTCTTCGTGTTTCTCTTCTTCCTCGACAATTCCTTCTTCAATTTGGTACTCACGAAGTACGGTGTTGCATGTTCTGTCCTTTCCGAGTACCTTCCAGATGGCGTCTATCTGTTCGAAGAAACGGTAGATGAGTCTGGCAAGGTCTCGGTTCTCTCTCTCGTAATTGCGCAAGGTTTCCGCGAAATCGTTCAGGCATTTCTCATTGGAAGCTTGGTTCATGAGGACATCGGCTTTAAGTTCCTTCATCTCTGTCATAAGACTACTTTGGAGAGTCTTAATGGTGTTTGTCAGATGAGCTTTCAATTGGGCAATTTGAATTTGAACTGGGCGCTTGTCTGGCAACCTTGAAAGGACATCTGCCATTGTGTTCGGCTTCGGTGCTTGTTCGGACATCGAAAAAATGAAGTGGTTTGAGAATGACGGTTTTACTTCAAAACGCTTGTTATGACAGTTATGTCATACAACAAGTTTAAAATAATATCTTGTTCTTCTTCTGAACGTTTGTTGTCTCTTCCGATAAAAGTTTCGAACATGAGAACCAAAAAACGTTTTTTGAGATTGCGGAAGAGTTCAGGCAAACGTTCATATTCTGGATATGTTGGGAGCAGTTCAAAACATCTGAGCTGACTTTCGGACAAAATTGGGACAAGGTCAGAAAATTCATCTTTGGTCGGACTGCTTGAAGGTAAGTCCCTTACATGTAAGTAGCTCTGGTAAAGTCTTCTCATTTCTGCTAACTTCTGGAGTATAGCTTCGTAATTTAAGAGTTTTAATTTTAATTGTCTTATTCCTCTCTTGACATCTAAACGGTAAGTATCCATGAGGTCAAGAGTAGCTTTGGTAGCTTTAAGTGGAGCTATCTCTTCTTTGACTTGTGCAATTTTGGTTGCAATTGTGGTTTGAGCTCCTTCAAGTTCGCCGTCTATGTCGTTCTCAACGCCTTCAACCATGGCTTGAAACTCTTCATCGGTCCATTGAGATTGGTGTGGGACGAATTTAACTTGCTTCATTCAAAAAATGAAAAAAAATGTTTTTACTCTAAACGTGCCATGTATATGGCTATAAGAAACTTACCAGAAGGCTTCTTCTTCACATGAGTCTTTGGCAACTTGAGAGTTCTTGTTGGAGTTGGGTCTGGAATTTCAATTCTCTCTCGAGCGCGCATTCCCCACTGTCTTTCTTGCCACCATAAACTGTGTATTGACCAAACTTGCATTTACAGGAAGACCGGTCAATACAAGGTTCACAGTTGAAATAGTTGTACTCATACCTGGTGAGTACGAGTGTGAGTAAAAACATAAAAAAGTGAGTTAAAATGAGATGTTTACTGAATTGGTTGGATGTCGCCTTCACAGGTTATGTAGAACGGCTGACCAGAGAAGTGAAGGAGACCCTTGAGAATTTGGTTCATTCTTGGGAAAGGGTTCTCTCTGTTTGGAAGTAGTATCCAAGGACGCTTGGCAAAGAACTTTATAATGGCTTCCTTCTTTGCTTGCTTTATGTCGTCGAAGGCTGTCCCGTCTGGTATTTGAATTGGAATTCCAGTCGAAGTCTCGAGATTCAAGGCAGCCCTTCCCGTTATCCAACCGTTAACAAGCTTGCCTTTTACATTCTGCCTGAGGAAGTCTTTAACAAGCTCGTTAATTTCAATTAGGTAAATTGCCTCGTCGGTAGGTTCGACCTCGACCATTGCTACTGTCAGTAAAAGTACTGCTACTGTCAGAAAAAGTACTGCTACTGTCAGAAAAAGTACTGCTACTGTCAGAAAAAGTACTGCTACTGTCAGAAAAAGTACTGCTACTGTCAGAAAAAGTACTGCTACTGTCAGAAAAAGTACTGCTACTGTCAGAAAAAGTACTGCTACTGTCAGTAAAAGTACTGCTAGTAGCAGTAAAACAACTGCTAGTAGCAGAAAAAAGGAAAATTTGAGAGGGTTTTCGACGATAAAGTACTGCTACTGTCAGTAAAAGTACTGCTACTGTCAGTAAAAGTACTGCTAGTAGCAGAGATTTTTATCGTTGTGGTCCGACAGGACACAAACGGATGACTGACGTCCCACCAACCGAGTCCATTCCCAAACCAGAGGAACCTAAAGAACCACAACAGTCTCCTCAGCAACCTCAGTTCCAGCAAGTACCTCCGAATTACTACCAATTTCCACCTCAAGGTTACTACCCACCATAAGGCTTACCGAACTACCCTCCTCAGCCTATGCCTTACTTCCCCAACCCTTGGTTGTTCCAGCAAGCTCCACCCCAGCAATTCCAATTCCAATCTCAATCGAAGAGAGACCAAGACTTCGAAGAAGGTCTGAACCGCTTACGCAAAGAGTATGCTACAGCTCCAATGGAAGACGACAGGCTTTCAGTCTCTTCCCTCAAATCGACCGATTCGACTCGTACCACAGATTCGGTTCGTGACCGTGAAGACTACCTCAAGCAGTCTGAGAGACTCTTCATCCTACAACCATTTACAGTTGGAGCTCTCAAGAACATGCGCAATTACGAAGGTCAGACACCAGCTGGAGACCGCAAAACAGACGTGCTTACAAGAGCAGTCCAACTGGTCAAGACAAAGACTGAGATAGTCGACTTCATTCTTGCAGCTTGCCCATACAAGTAAAAAAATAAACAATTACGAATTAAACTTTTTACTCTTTCTTTTCTGAGTTGTTTAGAGCTGGTTTCTCTTGTAGAAACCTTTCGTACTCTTCCATGGTCATGTAATTGCGAATTTGGTACGCAATTCCAGGTTCGTTGTTTTTGAACCTGATGTATGTAACGCTTCCATCCTCCTCAGGGAAGTAAGCTGCTAACATCTGACCAAGTTTTCTCGGTGACTCGGAGCTCATAAAAAATGTCACTTTTTAAACGTTAAGTGTTTAGTCTTAATTTACCCTTTGTTTGTCAAGGTAGTATTGGAGTGCAATTTCTCCAAATTCTCTGTGTCGGAGTTCTTCAGCATTTTCCAAGGTGTACCTGGAGAACTCAAAGAAGTTGTCAAGAACATACTGCCATGCTGCTCTTCTGAGTTCGTCGGTATTTTGGAAGTGTTGCACCTTCGAGTCTTCGGACATGAAAAAATGACACTTTTTCTATTAAACCGTTTTGGCATTTCTCATGAGTGAGTATAGTTCTGCCGAACCATTGGAAGAGAAGAAGTACCCTTGCTGGCAAAAGACAAAAATAGTTGCCTTAGTTGTCATTGCAATTGTACTCGTAATTGAATTCATTGTACTTCTCTTCACGTACATAAAACTCAGCAATGGTATTTGCTTTAAGAAGCTACCATCTTACTAAGACTAAACACTTACATTTTTCAAGCTTGACTTTTTACAATTTGAACTTTGTTTGCGTAGATATGAATTCTGAAAGAAGTATGAGGGTCTTGTATGACTTTGTACTTCTCCCATAGTTCATGTCTGTCAAAATTACCTGCCATGGACTCTTTCATAAGTTCCATGAAATCGTCTTCGGACAATCCGGGGAAAAGTATTATGTCAGTAAGTATTCTTTTAACATCCTTACTTAAACTCTTGGCTGTCTGTACACATATTACGACTGAGATGTTAAAGTGTCTGAGCTTCTTAAGAATTCGACACATATCTTGTTCTCTGTTCTTTAACAAAGGATGAGAGGCGAAATCATCTAAGATAAGAAGACATCTATGAGGGTAAGTCTTCCAATCGTAAGATTGCAATTTCTTCGAAATGTATTCTATCTCTTTCTGTTTGTTTCTGAAGTGTTTCTTCTCTAATATTCTCTGCATTTCCTCATTTGGGTCTTTAAACTTAGTTTTTTATATACTCATTTATAGCATTATACTTCAAAACTCTTCTTTGGTACTTCTTTATCCAATCTAACAACTCAGTATCCTTTATACATACTAACTTAGACTTCTTTATAATATCTTTGAACGAATTGACGGTTTGGTCAAATTGACCAGAAGTACTACAAATGACTACTAACTCATAGAATGGGTTCTTCTCATCTAGTTCTTGTTGTTGTGCAGCCATTTTAAGATAAGTGAAAGTCTTACCAGACCCGGGTGGTGCAATTAGACCTGTTATACCATTCTGAGCAAATAGGAACTTGTCATGTATAGGCTTTATCTGAGCATTTTCTAACTTCCTCTTGTTCTTTTAAAACATTCTCAAATTTTTGTCAATGTCAGCAAACTTTTTTTCTAACATATTTTTAGAAAAATTAAAATTTTTATCTTTTAGAAAATGTCTAGCGATTTCGCTATCTATATTCGAGACAAACTTTTTGACAGCAAAACATCTGTCGACCATAAAATCTTACATAGTGTAAACAAGAAAGGTGAATTTGTTCTAAAGTTCTGTTTCTGGGAATATGACAAGAACCATAAAACATTACAAAGAGCAGTCTTAAAATTTGTCAATGACAGACTTGTTGACAGAGATGACGCCGATTGGAAAGATGAAGTCCAACAAAAGTTCTTAGAATGCAAGAAGACACATGCGCTGTTCTTGAAGATGAAATAGAAAAAAGAATAGATGAGCTATTAAAGGACAAAGAACTTTTACATAAATATGGTTCTGAGAAATTTGACGTCTCACCACCAGAAAGAAGAAGAAAGAAAAGAAAGAGTAAAAGAAGAAGAGAAGAAAGAACCTGAACCAGTTCCAGAGAAAAAGAAATTTGACATGTAAAAATAAAATTTTATTTTTAGAACATTTCTGGGTCAATGTCAATGTTCTCTTCCTCTTTAGGAGTAAACACTGGCTTAGACTCTAAAATCTTTTTACCCAATTTACCTTGAACTTCTACAACTTTAGACTCATAATATTCATAGTCGTCTGTCTTCTTTGGTTCATAAGGTATAACAAGTTTGTATGCTTTGCCTTCTTTAAGGTTTGAGAACCTTCTGTCAAAACTTTCTTTGACTGTTAACAAACCTTCTATGTCTAAGTCTTCAAATTTCGCACCATTTTTAGTCACAATAGCAAACTTAACTGGTTCGATGTTCCAAACTTTGCTGAATGAAGACTTTTCAAAATGGTAGAAGTAAACATTCAAATATGTGAATGGGTCTAGTTCTTCTTTAAGTCCTGACATGTACTTGTTTACTGAGATGAATTTTGCCATCTTTTTCTATCGGATAAAAAATATTTTTTTAAAAATTTACTCAGAAAAAATTTTCTTTGTATATACACCATTCTGAACATCTAAAAGACTTTTGACATTTGCCAAGAATGTACGTTTAGAAGCTGCCATATAACCATATTCTTGACAATATTGTTTATATTCATCATATAAAGACTTTTCATCTAAACACTCAAAGTCGCTTTCTTCTATGAACAGTTCATATACACTCTTGTTTGCTTCTAACAATGTTTGTCTCTCTTCGGTATGTGGAATTTGTCTTGGATTGAATTTAGAAATATCTAATGTCATGAAATATGAGAACAAGTGGTTGTAAAAGTCAGATGTCAAAGTTTCTGCTAAGTCGTCAAAATATTCTGTATCTTGCATATGAGAATCTGACGTTCTGACAACTACATATCTTCTGTCAGAACTTTCTAACTTCATCGGAACAGCATTGTTTGAAACCATAATGAAGTTTGCAACATTTTCACAAACTCTTTGGTCTTTATACTTTCTTTCAACAACTCCAACTTTGTCTGTTATAAGACTCTTCAAAGCATCTGAGTTCAAAACTTTTGTTGTATCTATACTTTGAAGTTCATTGCAAACTATAAGTTTCATATTCTCTATTGAGGAGTTAAACTTGCCACAGATGTTTTCTAAGTTTGTCATATTAGGGTTCGAATAACCTTCTAACAGTTTGCATAAGATATCTGTAAAGAATGTGTTCTTACCTGTTCCTTGTTTTCCAATTATAATGAGAGCAGTTTCATTTTTAGCACTTGGATGTTGTAAGATGTTTGCAAACCAACATAAGATATACTCATAAACCTTTTCGTTTACATTGCATATAATTTCTTTGACATGGTCTAACCAAGCTTCTATAATATTTTCTTTCCATTCTACTTGTTCATATTTATATCCAGTGAAGATAGAATAGAAGTTTGGAGAAGGTGTATAAAACTTTATACCTCGAACTGAAAAATCTTCTAACTTTGACAATAAGATATCCCAAGCATCTAACATCTTCATTCCAACTTGTACAACTTTTATTTTCTTAAGTTTCTGTCTACATTCTTGTTCAGACACTATTGTTGCTCTTGGTTTGTTAAAGACTACATCCCATTCTTTCATAACATAACATTCTGGGGCAGAGTCGACATAAATGACTAAACGTTTCAAATTTTCGACTGCTTTGTTATAGTCTCTAAATGGACACATATTTCTGAATGCTTGGAAGTCATAAAAATCTGAAACATCTATTCTGTACATTTTTATAAAAATAAAAAAATAATATTTTTTTATTCTTGACTTTGTTGTTCCATTTGTTGCATTTGTTGTTCTTGAGCTATTTGTTGTTGAAGTTGTTCTTGTAATACAATACTTTCACCAGTTGCATCTTCTAATTCGAAACTTTCTGCCGTCATTGACAAATACATAGGACATAAAAGTTTTACAGGAACAAAGTTTGCGTCAACTAATGTCAACGTTATACTTGCCAAAGTGTTTGAGTTCACTAAGGTTGAAAATTCTGCATTCGAATGAACAATAGGCAAACCAGCAGAGAAAGTATTGTTTATACGCATAAGTATCTTTTGGTCATAATAGTTTCTGTCGACATTCGAATAACACTTTGAACCTAAGTTTGAAACAATATATAAGATTGGTGTGCTTAATGTCAATGGAATAGACATTCCTTGTATGACACCTTTTCCTGTTATAGGAAACTGTTGGTAGTAAAAACCAGATATAAGTTTTGTATTATAGCTCATATCGTTTATAGTAAACTCAGTCGGACATCCAAACATAATGAAACCTGCTCTAGTTGCAGCACATGTTACACCCGTACTTAAAGTATTAAATAAGTCAACAAAACCTGTTGGTGGTATATCTGAGTAAGTATCTTCAAAGGAGTATTTTTTACCATTCACAACAATAAAGTCTTCTGGTGTCAAAAGAGCAAAACAGGCTTTAGTCGTCATTGTGTTTAAGGTTAGTTTACAATATCGTCCTTGAGGACTTTGTAAGTTTGTTGTTATAGAATTATATGACTCGGGTTTTTAGTCGTAATAGTATAAACCATTATGTCTTCTGCCATTTACTTAGCAAATAAACTTTAATGAAATGTTGTGGTCGTCAAATATTTTTATAGCGTCTGGGAAACTATATTTTAAGTTCAACGTTTCACCTCCTTACATAACGTATATCTTGTCAATGGCATTATATGAAACACCACAGCAACTAATGTCGGGTTCTATTTCTTTGATGTTTATATCGTCTGCCTCTGTCAAAAGTTTCAATAGTTCTTTCAAAACTTCATGAGGTGCAATGACATATGAGTTCACTTTTACAGGGTTGTGTTCGACCAAGTTTAACATTATACTTAAAGCTTGACAAATCTTCTCCTGAGTTTGAAGTTTGTCTTTCAGTTGTTGGTAGTCGTTTCGAATATCTGCAACAGAACTTAAGTCTCTGTTAACTTCAGGATATGTTGGTTCTTTTACAGGAACAATTGTTATACCATCTTCGTCTTCGTATGGTTTCCCCACTTCAACATCTCTGTCTTTGACATTGACAACAACACTTTGACTGTTTGTTTGAGTTGGTGAATTTAACTTCACATCTGCCACCGCCATTAAACCTTTTGAAACACTTACGCTTCTATTTTTCGGAAATGACATTTTACTTAGAATAAAAAGATGGACGTATTCGGATATCTTATTGAATTGAAGCAGAACAAAGTTTATACTCACAAACAATACAAATACATTGACAGAATAGTTCTTTACACAAACAATGGAAAATGTTATAGAATAGCAGTCTTTGCTGAGCCTAAATATTTTCATAAAGCAAAGAAAGTTGGTATAACTGAAATGGTGAAAGTTCTTGAAGCAGACAAAAATATAACTTCAAAACTTACAGATATTACTAAAGGAAAGTTTATAATACAATATTATGTCAAAACTGGCGTACTGTCAATATTTGACGGAGAGAAGTCAGTTCAAGAACAACTTACTGACCTGCTGCCAAAATCTGCTCGATGGAAGCTGTCATTATGCCAATCTGAGGAGCCCCAGCAGGTTTCATCGAACGAATCTTCAAAAGAGCATCTTCCGTGAAAAGTGCTATTGGTTTTGTAAACTTCTTTGCTCTCAATTCATCTGGACCGTCTCTGTCACCAGTATATTGTATTTGAACTGTACCAACAGTTGAAATACCACCCATAAAGTCTTCTGAGTCAGCAAATGGAATGCCAAGCCAAAAGTTTGAACGGTCTCCATTTGTATATTGAGTTTTTTGACCTCCTGTATGAGTCCATACTTTCACATATGGCATAATAGAACTTTGCATTTCAGGGTTAATGGTTGTTGTGAAGTTGTTGTTAAAGTTCATAGCATCTAATGTCAAGTTGTATGACCTCATATCCTCAACTGTAGAATATTCTTCTCTTGGATAATATTTGCCATCTATGTTTATATGATATTTAATACCAGGGTTGTAGAAACAAGAATAGTCATTTATAGTTCGTCTGAACAGTACAAACATAGTATCTGCATGTTTCATTGCAGTTGTTAAAGCAATATCTGTTCTTGCATCTGCGGCTCCTGGATTTTGGTTTCCAACTTCACCTGCAAAGTCTTTGACAGATATTTGGTGTATAGGGAACATAAGTGGAACTGCAATATATTTGGCAGCTAAAGCATTTGAAATATCTGGGTCCAACATATAGACTGCAAGTCTGCTTTCTATTCTCTTGCATTCAAACTGTTCGCATGTAAACCTAACTGGGTCCCAAGCAGTTCCAGCAGCATTGAAATAATAGTTTACTTCATTGTTGAAGTTTGAGAAACCAAAGTCTAAGTCAACTTTGTCTTTGCAAAATTCGGCGAATGACGTTTGATTTGTTCCCTTTACGTCTGTAATAGTGAATGGGTCTTGTGTTGGTGCAATGACTAAGTTATTTTTGCTTGGAGTAAGTTCGATAGAAATTTTTCCTGCCCAGTTTGGCAAGTATCTTAAAAACCTGAAGATGAGGAAAGATGACAAAGGAACTCTAAGTTTCAGTTTTACTTTGGTTACTGCTGCTGCAGTTTGTCCAGAAAGGTTAACATAAACTCCTGGAACGTTAGGGTCAAGTCTTCTTATTTTCTCAATAGTTGCATACTGGTCTGTTTGTTCTCTAGCTTGTGGTTGTACTGAGTTTCTCAAAGCGAACCATTCATAGTTTGCCCATGTTACTGTTTGAACTAAGTCAGAGTTAGAATATATCTTATATCCCATAAAAACTTCTGGAGCATATTGGTATCCGACATAGAAAATTCCATTGCAACCTTTCTTGTCAGACAACTTGGCAGAAGGTTTTATTTCAATGTCTTGTTCCACGTATAAGAATGAGTTGTCAATAGAAATAATATGAAACCTGTCGCAAGCAATATCTACTGTTGTTGAAGAACCTTCTCCAAACTCACATACGTTTCCATAAGAAACAGCAGTTGTATATTCGTAAGTTCCAGGAACTATTTCTGACCTTCTAATGGCATTGTCGCATTCGTTATACCATTCGGAAACATTTCCGTTCATGGCATCCAAAACTGTTGGCGTTATATTCTGAGCGGCGTACATTTCATATGGGTAAAAATATAGAATAGTTGGATTTATGTGTCATAATAGAACCCACTCGGACTAAGCTTTACTTTCTTCCTGACTGAGTTTTTAACTGAATCTTTAACTCTTCTTTTTCCTTCATTGCCACTACTTTCACTAGATGAAGTTACTTCTTCACTACTTTCACTTTGTTCTACTCTTCTCTTCTTCTTTGGTGTCGCTTTTGGTAACTTGCCCTCTGCTTCAAGTTGTTGCATCTTTGCCTCATATTCACCTAGTATGTTGTAAATTTCCCATGTCCTTTTTGCCTTTGGGCTCTGGTCGCCCATCTCAGGTAACCTATATCCTAGAAAGATTTTGTCATAGTTTGTATTTGAGTCTTCGCTTATTGTTTGCATGACTCTTTCCTGAGTTTCCGGTTCAAGCTCTTCAAACAGAGCTTGTCCATATGGAATAAGCTCGTTTCCAAATATATGTTTTTGTAGCCATTCTGGTTTTCTTTCCATGTTACCAATAATATCTTTTGTGAATGGGAAAGCTTTTACCCAATGTTTCAGTCTTGCGTCATTTATTTCTGTAGTTGGTTTTATTTTGTCAAGGAACATGTTTTTCAATACTAACATTTCATTTGGTACTGTCCATTTGAGTTTTCTTAAATATTCATCCCTTCTCAGTTCATTGTCTGCAAAGTAAGTTTTTATGACATTTTGCAAACTTTCGTTTGCAAGGTCATGTACAATAGGTTCTCTTCCTTCTCTCTCCCTAACTCTCTTTCTAAACTTTTCACCAAATATACCATCTCTATAGTTCTGTGTAGTTCTTTGAGATAAATGTTCTAGAACGTCAGGTGTTATATTTCCCTCAGCCATGTTCATTTCATACTGGTCCAAAATATCTGCATCTTTCATATCTTTCAATGGCATTAAAGCCGCGCTGAAAATACCCGTTATATCTGGTTCACCATTCACTTCCATTGCGTCTACAACTTCTTGGAATTGAGGTTGTAAGTTTATGAACCACCTATCCGGATTAGCTTTATGACCCCATCTCATTGTAGTTCCATAGTCTGCAGAAACAAAAGTAGGTTTGTTTCCATATTGGTTAGGTTCGGAATGAACTTTAAACAATGTTTCATTTCTATATGTTTTGTTGAAATTTAACCTTTTATTTTCACCGAGTTCAGCCAAAGATTGAACGTTATATGGTCGTAAGTAAAAAGGATTATTGTATTTGCGTACATTTTCTTTCAGTACTTCCATTCTATGCTGAATATTTTCATCTGATGTTGGAGTCTTTTGTATGTCGGTGAACATTTTTCGATATTCTTCTACTATGTCAGCCGAATTTTTCTTAGACTCTTGGAAAGATTCCATATTCTCCGCATACACTTGTTGAGGGTCAAGATTTTTCGGCTGTTCCAAATCTTCATCTAGTTCTGTGAAGTTAGTTTCCAAAGGAGGGACTTGTTCGTTTCCTTCAGGCTCTTCTAGCTGTTGTTGCTGAACTATTTCTTCCATGTCTGGTTGTATCTGAACTTCTTCCTGTGGAGTTTCTTGTACCTCATCTGGTGGCATTTCATATATTCCGAGACCGTTTTTAACAAGTTCCCTATCTAAGTCATCCGGACTCATAAACCTTTCTTCTTTCGTTCCGTCTCTATTTTTTACGCGTTTCATGAAGAGAGTTGAATTATCATTTAGCTCTGACATCAAATATCTCGGAGTAAATTCATCCATGTCATTTGGATGATATGCTATTAAATCATATTCCTTAGCGAGCTTGTATTTTCCAGGTTTGAGATTATATCCCATTTGATGCTGAACCATAAAGCTAAATAGGTTCGGGTCAGTATTTCCTTCCTTGAACTTTCTAATAGCTTCTTTATATCTGTCACTAAAGTCAAGAGTATCTGGGTAACCATAATCTTCCTTAAGCATTTTTAAGAATTCTTGGTTTCCTTTTTCTCTACTTCTTTTATGTCTTTGCTCTGTTTGTGGTTGTTGTTGTGCATGGTTTTGAACTGTTGGTTGCTGTGTTGGTTGTTGTTGTGGTGCTGGATTTTGAACTGTTGGTTGTTGTGCAGGGTTTTGAACGGTTGGTTTTGGTTGTTGTTGTGGTGCTGGATTTTGAACTGTTGGTTGTTGTGTTGGTTTTGGTGCATGCCTGTGTCTATGTCCATGTGACGATGTAAATGTTTTAGGTAGTCCTGGTGCAGGTGCTTCTCTTGGAGGGTTTGGTGGTATATAAGTTCCACCAGCTGGCACATATGTTCCATCTGCAGCATAATGTCCTACCTGACTTTTCGTTTTTAAGAAAGCATTTACTAGGTCTGTTTTGGTCTGTTGTAACTCTTTTTCTTGACTTTCCACAACAGCTGCTCTAACGGCGTCATAGGCACTTTGAACTGCCTGTCTCGTTGCTGCATCTGTTATTTTCGTCATATTTTGTGCTACTTCTCTTAACTCTTTGTCGAAACCTTCAGACTTCAGTTTCTTTCCAGATGAGAAGTCGTTCACTAGTTTCACCTTACTATGAAGAGCTTCGAAGGCATTCTTAAAGTCAGCATTCATTAAAGCTTCATTTGAACTGTCTTCATCCGCTTGTATTTTTGTCCTTATTGACCCTATAAGTTGGGCTGCTTTAGCGTTGGCTTGGGCATCTAACCAGTCATTATTAGCTTTTATAATATCTGCGCTTTTCATTGCCTTTTGCATGGCTGCGTCGTTATTTTTACTTTCTTGTGCTAAGTTTTCATACTGTACGGTTTGGTTTTGCAACTGTAAAAGTTTTTCTGCCTTTACATTTGCTTCAACTTCTTTTTTATACTCATCGCTATCCATATATGTCTTCATGGCTTTTTGTTTTATCTCTTCATCTTTCAGTACTTTATATTGAGTAGTATGGTTTTTCAAATTTATAACATCTTGTTCCATTTTTGCTACTTCTGCTGCTTTTTCTGACACTTTTTTCGCATATTCCTCTGTACTTAGTTCTTTCAGTTGTTCTTCTTTCTTCTTTTTCTCTACGTTTAACTCATTGAGTTTCTTTGTGTGTCTGTCATATTCTAGTTTCTTTTCGTTTTCACTTATTTGTTTCTGTATGTCTATGTTTGACTTTTTGACATCTGTTATTTGATTTTTGAGTGAACTCAAATTCATTTGACTTTGAGGGTTATAAGCTGTTCCGTCTGCAGCTCCACCATAGCCTGCCATTTTCGCTAAAAGTGCCGCTCTTAAACCTCCACTCTGTGCACCAATAACTCGGTTTAAAAGCATAGGGTTGCTTGACATTTGTTGCAACATAGTGGGGTCATTCATCATTTGTTGTTGCAACTGTTGTTGTGGTGTCAGTTTTACTATTGGATGTTTCAATGCTCCCTTCCTCTTACGTATATTCTTACGTAGCTTACGTGGCATTTTAAGTGAAGTAAAAAACGGTTTTTGACAGATGTTTATATGACACTTTTTGTTCAGCTCAAAAATACTCGGTCAAAGTGTTGTCAGTTTTGTAAAATAACCGTCCTATCTTGTTTTAAAAGGGAGAAAAGGCTTCTCAAAGTATACTTCCTTGGAACGCCTGTAACTTTTCCTGTAGCGACGATAGACTCTTACTTGTCCGGACAAAGTTATACTATTTTGAGTGCTCTACAAAAAAGTCAACGGCGACGACTCTCAAAAACCGTTGTGTAAAAAGTTTTACCGTTGGACAAAAAAGTATATATAGAAAACAAAAAACGTTTATAGTTCATTCAATATTTGAGATAAACCGTTTTTCCAACAGTAACTATTAAATAAAATAAAAAAATAGAGGGGGTCTCCGTTGACGAAAACGGTTTATCTCAAACTTTTCTATGAGTGGTCCGAAAAAAACAGTTCATTTTTATCTAATGGAAGCCAACGCTGTTAACCACAATTCAAACATTAACAATTCTCAACCGCTAACCAAAGCCAAAGCCCCACAACCTCCAAGAACTGGCACAGCGGTTAGAATAACCACCAAAAAGTCTAACAGCGAATTAAGAGAAATTCTTCAACAAATTTGCTCTAAATATCTCAAAGACGCCGAAGAAAACACACAACCAGACGCTACATACAATACTCAGTTCTGTGAAGTTCTGAACAAAGCAATTACTAGTTCATTTGAACTTACTAAGACAATTCCAAGTCCAATTGAGCTTAGCGATGTCTTAGTTCAGTATTTTCCAACATTTACTAAGCTTATAATGTTGAGAACTTCATAACAAGTTCGTCAAAATCTTCCTCGTTACATCCAACGGTCATTCGACACGAGAATTGCCGAATTCCAAGTCTTTAGTTACGGATATGACGAAGATGAATACGTTGACGAGTTCGGAGACAACTGTACAAAATGGTTTGAATGTTATACGACAACACAATTTGAATTCGACTTTCTCGAATTCAACGCAGCAACCATTCATATCATTGCTCTTTACCTTTCCGAACAACAACAAGACCTCGCAGATGGAGATGTTGTTACTGTCGTCATGAAAACTCCTGAACAATTCGGAAAAAAGAAGTCTCTAATTGCCAAATTCGTTCCAGGACATCAGCTTTTCCAACGCACAGAAGTCTTCTGTATTCCTGGAACTAAGTTCTTTGTCAGGAGCGAACTCAAAGAAAGATATAATGTGTCATTCAATTACACATTATATAATGTTTTCGACCCAGAAGAAGGCTTTTTCCCAGAAGCAATGGAGGAGGAAGAAGAGGAGGAGGAAATACAAGACTCTATCCAAGAAGAGTCCTCCGAATTCACACCAGAAGACTAACAATTTTCCGAATAAAAACTTCATTTATACTAAACATCTTCGGGGCTAGAGGGCGCAACGCGCCTGGAAGCCCCACTCACCTGACCTATACCACATTCTACATCAATTGGAATTAAGAATATTCCAAATTAAATAAAAAATATCAATCTTTTCAAAATTTATATATCATTCATAGCCTGACTTATCAAAATGAATTTCAATTCATATTGTTCAAATAAAGCATTACTTTGAAAGTTTGAATCATTACTCCGACATATTTTCCTATATAGTAAAATCACAACCGAGATTGATATATGCATAACATTTCTAGCCATTTGCATGTAGATATGTGAAATTTTAACTCTAATTTTAAAATATTATAATTTTTTTATATATCATGTCATTATGTATAAATCAATTCACCGGATCATATATATTAATATATCTGTAATTGAATAGACTAGGCCAATTACATTAGTTTGATATCTTGATAACTTTTTAGATTTAGATTTCAACCTCAGCAATATATACTACTATGTACCAGTAATATAATGTTATAATAATGGGTTTGGATCTTCATGTAGTGTGGTTTTACAAGCAAAATAAATTTCGTCTAATTGCACTATGAATGTCATTAGTAGACTACTAAAATCATATGGTAGATTCTCTAGTGCCTACATAAGTATATGGTATATGTCACAAAGAATGTCTCTAATCAGGGAGCTGTATTAATGAGCTTTTATAAAAATTTACGGGCGTGTCAGATTCCAATAACAAAAACTTTAGGGTATATCTTAACAAAAAAGAAGAATGGTGCAAAAAACCTAGGTTTTTCCCACAGTTAGCGGTGTCAAACATTGCAGTTATTTCTGATGGCACTAATTCTGTTGATTTTACTAAAACATCTGGCAAAGTCAAACTTGCAGATGGAAGAACCGCTTTTGTTGGTGATGACAATTATTTGCGAATCTTTGGCAGCACTGCTGAATCAGTAGAAACATTTCAATTAGGTGTAGTCTACCGTCGAGGATAAATTACCCTAAAGTTTTTGTTATTGGAATCTGACACGCCCGTAAATTTATAAATGGTAGATCCATATTATATGGTAGAGTTTTTTTTAAGCCATGTCATAGGGGTGTGAGTGCACCCTTAAGGGTGAAGGTTTGAATATTTTACAATGAACCAAAATCTTCATAAGTATTGAGTATTGAGACGTTTACATACAGACTACAGTACAGCCTTAATTCTTATGTAACGTGTTTACGTTAAATCATTGTTGGCAATAAAATTTTCTGCTATTACTGAACATTGGTTCCTAAAAGAATATTATTCCATTTTATGTTAATAATGTAGGTAAAATCACTCGTAACACGAAATTTTGACATTAACACTCTCAAATTTGAGGAATTTACGTGTTGTAAAGTGTTTACGAATGTAAACAGTTTACAAATGTAAAGTTTATTTATTTTGAAATCGGCACAATTCACAGGCGCTCCCGCCCGTAACGATACAAAATTGAGAGTGTTACGAACGGTAGTTTTAGCAGCGATTATTTTAACCTACCTTATTCATTTTGTTTGAAGAAAGTTAATAAGTGGTAGAATAATTAGCACCTAAGCTATACATAAATTCATTTATGAATACTAATAAATAAAAATTCGAAATTTTATTTTAAAACTATCAATGATTATATTACATTTGATTCTTAATTTGCATGATTCTTTGCAATATGGCCAATGATGCTCACATCATCTTCTTCATTATCACTAAAGAAATCTTCAAGTGGCATTCCTTTGTTAGTTGTTCCAATAAGTTCGATCTTATTGATAGCGATACATGGTGGATCTCCAGGGCAGCTTTCATCTTGAATTAAGCGAACGTACCTGGCTTCATGAGTTTCGCTAAATTTGTAAGTCTTTTCTTTGCAGTATGCCATGTCATAATCCTTTTCCACTTTATGGACTGTCTTCCATGTTGTATTGTCATTAGAAACCTGTAAAGACCAGGAAAAAAGGCAGCAATAGCAGCAATAAGAAGCAGATTCATAACAGCAGCATCCTGCAGAAGATCCACTGCAGCAGCCTGCCTTTAAGTAATATCCATTTAACTTCATGATCTGGTCCTTAATTTCTAAAATAAGCCATGGGAAATCAGTAGATGAATGGCCACAATTTGAACACCAATCATAATTCTTATTGATTTGATCAAATGCATACTCTGGTTTAGTTTTTTGTAAGGTTCCATTAATTATTTGAGAAGAAGATCCACTGGCATAATACTTAACTAAGCCATGTGGATATCCATTCTTCAGAATGGAATTAGAGTTGGTCAATATTTCTTCGCATATAAGCCAGATAAAACTCATATTTTCGAGATTTCAAGAAAAGTGAAATGTAAATCTGAAAAAAAATGAAATATTAAATAAATATGTATGTATTATAAATACGAATGATTTTTATTTTTCTCAATATATTTTTGTAAAGCATTGAAACAAAATCGTTAAAATTTAGCCAAAAATGTCGTTTCGTGGATATTCAGCGCGTGGCGTGCCAAGAACTCCTCGATCGGCAAGGAAATCCATTGTAACTGTTCAGGGGAAGAGAGTTCCTAAATTGATTCGTCCAGATACCACACCAACGGCCGAAGAAATCGGAATTCTGAAGAGAGAAAAACACAATTTGATACAGGAGAAAAGTCTTTTAAAGGCAAAAATCATGCGATTGATTGATATAACTAATCGTCCTGATACTTATACATCAAGATCAAGTGCAGATCAAAATGTACTCGAAAAAGAGTATCGACAAATTGAACAAATAAGCGCAGCAAAGCGATCTGAAATATCCCAACTAAATGCATCTGATTTAGCAGCAGTTGTTAACGAATTACAAGAAGAATGCTTGATGTTGCATATGGAATTAATGCGTTTAGTTGTGGAGAAAAAGAGAATTGATACTGAACTAAAAACTGTTAACCGTCAATTACATGATGCTAAAACTCAATTTCATCCTGATTTAGAAAAGAAACAAAACAGAATTATTAAAGAATTAGAACGTCAAATTACCGATCAAAGACTGCGAAATGCTAAAATCAGAGCAAAACTAGATGATAAAGAAAATGAAATGACTGAAAATAAGCAAGATGAAGCTGCCCAGGCAATGCAAAAAACTATTGAAGATTTGGAAGCTCAAATTAAAGCCCAGCAGGCTGAAAGCAATCAAGTCGACGAGGAAATTAGACAGCTAGAAGACGAAAAAAGAAAAGAAATTAATGAACTCAACTACCAACTTGCCAAACTACAATAACTTATGTATAAAAATTGTTATTTATCCTATCAAAAATAGATACTTTCTTTTTTTTCCTTTTTATGATTTTAAATTACCAGATAATCATTGAAATAATTGTGATTAAATATTCAAATCCATAATTTAAAAAAGGAAAAATATATAACAGCTTTTATAGAACAATTTTGTCGATTTATTTTTTGAAATATCATTGTTTTTTAGGGTTGTACAAACTGGCACGCCTGCTGGCACACCTTTTTTGGCCAGCTGGCACGATTTTTTTAAAAAACACATTAAAAAAGTCACTTTTTGCCCCATCTAATGAGATTTTTTTTTACAATTTTTTTCCCCTTATTTTTCAATTTAGATATGATTTTAAGCTCTCCAAATTGAAGTTTACCTGATGTTTCTTAGTTTTTATGATAATAAAATGTTGCAAAGTTGAGTTTGGATTCAATAAATTTAAGAAAATTTTATTTTACAATGAAATTATAAGAAAGGATGTTTTTATCCTATGTCAAAGAGAATACATTTGTAGATCCCGACTTTTGACATGGTTGAAAATTCCAAAAAAAATTCAAAATTTAAAAAATAATATTAAAAAATATAAATTTCATGTTAAAAAATGATTTTTGAAATTTTTTTGGAAAAATAGAATGTCATATTTTTATGTTTTATTGCTATTTTTTACGAAATCAATAAAATATTTGTTAATTTGGCTGAGATTATAAATAAAATCTTTCTAAATCTTACAATTGATTGCTAAAATCTGTTTTATGTATTAATTGGCATTGAGATTCGTTATAAAAGAATGCGAATTAATTTGTATGAGTAAACGTATTTTGTAAAATTTCAAATTCTCTTCTCTCATTACTTACCTTAGATCTCTCAGCTTTTAGCTCTCAGATTTCGCTCATAGAACTCAGGTTTTAGTTATGTACTCATAGATGTATCATTACTGCCCGCAGATCTCTCATTACTACCTTACTAACCAGATCTTAACTCTCCGACCTTACTAACCAGATCTTAACTCTCATTACTACCTTACTAACCAGATCTTAACTCTCATTACTACCTTACTCATCAGATCTTAACTCTCATTACTACCTTACTAACCAGATCTTAACTCTCCGACCTTACTAACCAGATCTTAACTCTCCGACCTTACTAACCAGATCTTAACTCTCATTACTACCTTACTAACCAGATCTTAACTCTCATTACTACCTTACTAACCAGATCTTAACTCTCCGACCTTACTCATCAGATATCTAATTATTTACATATGATATCTCACATCTCACTCAAGTCTCATTACTTACCCTATCTTTTTAACCTTTTATGATAATTACTGAAATAACTAAATCCTTTTTTTAGTTTAATTCTGATATTAAATTTTTAAAATCTCTTTAATTTTTTGAACTACGCATTTAATTTGTAATTGCCGATTTCACAGATTTGAACCATTTAATAAAATAACATTATTCAACTTAATCATATCAAACATGGTAGTTTGATTTTCAGATCTACATTTTAAAAACCTCTTTATTATCTTGAGTTATACTTTTATTATATAATACCTGAGTTCATAACTGAAAACTCTTAATTAGAGTACAATATTCAACTTAATCATAACAAGATTTGTTGAATTTCAAATTTGATTTATATCTTCCATCACTTAAAACTCTCACAGCTTACAATATAAGCTAAAAAGTATATTTTCATAGTAATAAAATTAATTATTAAATTTTTTACTTTTTCCTTTCCAAAACTAGAAAAAAAGGAAGGGAAAAAGAAGAAAAAAAAGAGAAAAAGAAAAAATAATAATGAGCATATTATATAATTGTGGTCATAGGCCTCGTGGCGTGGAAAGGATGTCGCCCTTCGGGCTCCACCCTTTCCACGCCACGAGGCCCGATTTTTGGCCACTTTTTTGATTTTGGCCGCGTGCCAGGAGCTGGCACGCGGCCCGCAAAATTGTGCCAGTTTGTACAACCCTATTGTTTTTTATTCCAAAAAAAATTTAAAAATAAAAAAATCAAGTTAATTTGCTTAAATGTCCCGTTGAATTTTTCGAAAACAATATTATTCTCCTAATTCAATTATGGTTTATTCTGTAAGAAAGAGCTAAATATACATATTTTTTACATATGATTTCACAAATATTGAAGTAATTATGCGATTTCTGTGATAAATTTAGGATATTTTATTGATACTCGATCGAGTAAAATATTTTCAACGTTTTTAATTTGTTTTGAAAATAAAAACTGATTTACTTTTTTTTCCCATAAAAATCAATATTATGAGCACTGAGAATATAGACAAATACATTGAAGTTTTAAAGCAAGGAAAGCATCTCCAGGAAGCCCAAATTTCAGAAATCTTCAGCAAGTTCATATCTATCTTAGAAAAAGAGGATAATTTGCTTAGATTAGAAGCTCCTATAAACGTTGTTGGAGATATTCACGGACAACTCTTCGATTTATTAAATATGTTCGATTTAGCAGAAAAGGAATCATGCGAAAAGAAGAAATTCTTATTCTTGGGTGATTATGTTGATCGTGGACACTTTTCAATTGAAACCATCGCACTTTTAGCTTGCTTAAAGATCAAATCACCAAACGACATATTTATGCTTCGCGGGAATCACGAATCTCCTTCAATTAATCAAGTTTATGGTTTTTATAATAATTGCTTGGAATTATACGGTTCTTCAATGATCTGGATTCTCGCTAATAAAACGTTCCAACACATGCCAATGGCAGCTTTAATTAACGAAAAATTCTTCTGCATTCATGGCGGATTAAGCCCAGAATTAAGGTACGTCGACCAGCTTTACGTTGTTGATAGAGTTTGCGAAATACCAGAAACTGGCATATTGGCAGATCTTACATGGTCCGATCCAGACGATTCTATTACAAAATACGGTAAAAGCAAACGTGGATCAGGTCATCAATTTGGAAGACCACAAGTTGAAGAGTTTATTCAAAATAATAATTTACAGCTTATTATTCGTTCTCATCAGCTGGCAATGAAAGGATATGAAGAATTCTTCATGAAAGATGATAAACCACAGCTTTTAACTGTTTGGTCTGCACCAAACTATTGCTATACTGCTGGAAATAAAGCTACATTTATGGCTGTTGATAAAGATTTGAACTACAGACTTATTGAATTCGAATCCGGACAAGAGCCAGCAGAAGAATTAGACCCTACAATATGCCCATATTTTGCATAATTTAATTTCTTGTTTCATGAAGATTTATTATGATCGATATAAAAAAACTTCATTTTAATAACTTATTACCTTCTATTTTACCAATTTTCTTGAACTCCATTCATCCTATATAACACAAATCATAAAATAATTGATTTTAGTCAAATTTTATTTCAATTTCAATTGAATAATAAAGTATTTGCAATTTTACATAATGACACGTATAAATAATATTTAATATAATAAAGTAATATGTAATAAAAAAGGAAATTAGCGGAAGTTTGTAGATTTCAAAGAGTTTTTGATTGATAAGACCAAATCCTGATTGAACTGCAATGTAGCATATCCAAATGCCTTAATTTCTGGAGAAAACTGACCAATACAAGCTATTCTACTTGCATTACTCAAAAATCCGCAGTGTGTATGTCCAGTAATGAGCCAATCGTCCGGCTTTATATACTGTTTGCATCCATCTTTGATCCAGGAAACAAAGAAGTATGCATGAGGGTCGCGAACTCGATAATTATTTAACAAATCATGAGCCAAGAATGCTTTGATATCAGGCTTTCCAGCTCTCTGAGCAGTAATTTGAATGGCAAGTTCTTGGAAAATTTTGACGTTGCTATTCTTTGGCCAATTTATAAGACTGAAAAATTCACGGTCATGATTACCGCCTATTGCGTAAACTGGAACTGGAAGCTTTTCAAGTTCAGTCAATACAACTTTAAGTAATGCTTCTGATTGAGTTCCATCTATTAAATCACCGAGAATGAAAACAACTGTGGGATCCTCGTTAGAAACAAGTGCATTAAGTGTGTCGATAAATAATTTGACTGCGATATCAGTTTGTAATTGTGCTCCAATGTGACAATCAGAGATTAAAACGGCTTTCATCGGTCTATCACTAGGGGGTACATATTGATAAGATGTTACTCTATCATTTACTAAAGGCACCCCAAAAATAGTACCAAAATTTGGATTCATTTTTTATAAAATGTAAAAAAAAACTTCTTTGTTCGGAGATCATCAAATTAATTTTGACGAAATTAGCATTGTTTTTCAGTGTACATCTGTATGTGAACTCCAATTTGCTAAATTTAAATTGTGATGAGATTTTTTTACAATTTGGCGTTTATAATTTAATGATGGATACGACAAATTCAAGGAAGAACGAAGTGATAAGATATACATTCAAATAAACAATGAGATATCAGTACTGGAGTTTACACAGAACCTGAGTTCATATATCAACAACTACATCTTTTTTTATATGAAACTAAAATCGTTTTAATAACTAAAAATTCTAGGCTATGCAATTCCCCTACTGCATGTGACTTTTTGGCTGCTTATTCTATTGCAATGTCCAAGTTTGATAAAACATAAATCTTTTAAAATAAGTCCATGATAATTTTTTATACTTCTTATAACATTATTTATACAATAAATATTTTGAGTATGGTTGTTCTTTCTTGTGTAATGATTTACTCCAAAATTATAAGACAAGCATGTCATGATGCTTTTTGTCAGAATGAATAAAATAAAGTGTAATAATCTGTAGGGTGAATATATAAACCTGCAACAATTCTTTAGGTAAAAAATCAAATTCGATATAATATAATTTTGGGACTCAGTTGGCTAAGCTTGCCCTTCGGGCAAGCTTAGCCAACTTCGTCAAAATAAATCTATTATGATTATAGAAAATGAGTTTATACAAATAAATTTAATTATGAGTGATTAATATTATATTTTAAAGATTATTATATAAAATAGAAGATAGACTTTTAGCTAAATCGAAGTAGTTTAGAGAACAATTTGAGATTTTAGAGATTTTTCAAATGAAATATTGAAGGCAAAGTATTTATTAAGAATTTGTTGTGAAATGAATACACTTCGGTAAGACATTAGATCAGTATGATACTTGACAAAATTGGAGCTGAAGTTTGGTTCACAAATGAAGAATAGGTCTAAGCTATAACAAAAGATTGTAATATATTTGAAAATCTAATAGTTTTATTTAGTAATTTGATATTGATGCGATCATAGATATTGATTTGAGTATTAAATTCGAAATTTTGTAATTTATAATGATATTTAGGAGCTGTAAAGCTAAAGACTAATTAAGTATATGATGACAAAGAACTTGCTAGAGATTAAAATCTAAAATTTTAGAATTTTTAAAATTAAATTGAAACTACATGAACATATTAAGAATCTTTTAAAGTATATTGGCACTCCAATAAGTCATTAGTTCAATGTGATGCATTAGAAGTTTGATTGAAAAGTCTGGTTAAGAAATGATGAAAATGTGAAATGAAAATGCAGCATTTCTCTCAATTTTTCAGACACTTTTTGACTATCGTTTTCGAAGTGGCGCTTCGCGCCGCTAATAAAATTTTGAGAACAACTTTAGCTGTTTGTTCGGCAAAATTATTTTAACGAATTACGATTCAAAATTTGTTGTAACATAATAATTTCTAATTGATTTTTGACTTTTGATAATAAATTATTAATAAATATTTTGAAAACTCATTTTTTTCGCTATTTGATTGGCGCAAAGCGCCAATCAAATAGCTCAGATTAATAATATGATATTATTTCAAATATGATGAAAATTTTTGAGTGAAAACTATCAAAAATAAGTCTTAAAAAATACATTTTTAGAAAAGGTTTTTGATTCTTAATCATTTTATGTTTCAGCAACAGACAATCACTATATATATATCATCTAGCGGCGCTACGCGCCGATAGATGAAGGACAAGGCTGTCATGCACCAGTGTGTTATAGCAGATCGATTTTACCCAAATTTGCTTTACTTTTACCACCTCTCTAAAGCTGGGGACACCGCCTATCGTTTGGATTAGCTATTAAATAGAACCACCAAGGGTATTTTTCGAACTGCCGGTGTAGTGTAGTGGAAACATCCGACATAATGATTCATTATGCCAAGGTTTGATTCCAATTTAGCCAATTTTTTTCTTTTTTGGATCATGAATTTTTTTTGGGTCACTATAAGATTTGTTTCATGTTCTAAATCTGCTGCATATGTAATCTATTTTTATTTACCTATTTTTTAAAAATCTATTGGATTGCCAAATTTGAATATATTTAAAATCATAAAAATCCAAAAAAACTATAAATATATGTTTTATGCATAGTGCCGATACTCAAATATCAGATTACTTAGATCCATGAATAATATCCGAATTTTTTTTCTTAAAATTAAACTTCAAAATTTCTTGCAATCTTATTCTTCATCAATTGTAAATTTTTAAAACCATTTTTTAAAATAATTTTGCGTAAATTTTATTCTCATGTTGTTTTAATCGAAAATTGATACATTTTCAAAAAAATAATATTGACTTATGAAATTCATTTTTAAGGTGAAATAGTATTGTTTTTATTAAAGTATATGAATAATATATAAAAAATTAATGAATAATATAAGCAGATTTTTAGTTTACAAAACAAATATGAGCAATGCAATTTCAAACTTCTGCTGGCAATTTCGATATTGCTCAAGTTTGTAGTATTTGTGATACCTATAACATCGGCTTAATCAAAATTCGATTTTTCTTATGAGTTATTGAGAAAATTTGATTGCAATGAGAAGGATTTCGACGTTTTTGATAAACTAAGAGCTGAGCTTTAGGGGTTCAGTTCATTTATGGCTGTAGTTTGATGCGTAGATCTCTTTTTTATTGTAAATTCTTTCAGCATGGAGATCGAGAATGAATCTTTTGAGAACTTTATGAGTTTTTACACCCGTAAAGAGGTCCTTCGAGGAAAGATAGTCCAGACTACATGAAGATGTGGGTTAACCAAAAAAATCCGATGGTTTCCCCATATTCATGTAGATCTTCGAAAAAATGAGCACCAAAAAAGCCAAAAAAATAGGCTTTTTATTGAATTTGTACACTAGATCAATAATCTATTTAGGATCTGACACTCTTTTTAGCCAGAGATATGAGGTCCTTTCTAGGAAAACGATCTATTCATCCATAAAAAAAATGAATTATCGTTTTCCCCAGAAATTACATGGGGAGTGGTAAAAGTAAAGCAAATCTGGGTATTTGAAATTTCATAAATTAATAATTATAATAAATTTGATATTCAGAGACGGCGCTACGCGCCTTTTAGCATTCTGGGCACTTACGTGCCCAGAATGCAAGATTGAGAAATTTGAAACTTCGTTTCAAATTTCTGCCTTGCTGTTAGGCAAAAAGAAAGTCAGTACAAAAAAAATTTTGAAATTGAGAATAAAAATAATATTGTGAGTTTTTGTGATATATGGATTTTTTAGAAGATTTTAGAGATTGAAGTCTCAATTTATAAAATTTTTTAAATTGAGAGGAATTTTAATAATATTATTTTATTTGATATTTGGATTTTTTAGAAGATTTTAGAGATGTCAGTCTCAATTTAAAAAAATTTACAAAAAATGATCGTAAAATAATCGTTTTTGTTCAAATCCTTTTCATTTCGGGAAATTGAAGTTAAATATCAAAGAGATGGTCTATGCATATGTTAAATCAAATCATTAAAAAGTGTTTTGATGACTTTTTCTAACCGCAAATTATCACTTTTTGATGTTTTAAAATTATTATATATCCTATATGCATATAAGATACAAATTAATATTAAAACTCCAAAATCGATTTTTGAGAGAATCAAATTTATCACATCTCATCGTTGTTCCGAATTAATATTTTATTTGTAATGTACATATTATCACAATTATATTTATCATATTAAAATTCAAAAATAATTTTTGAGTTTCAGATCTCCCTAATTTCCCATATAAATATATGTTTATTTTATTAAAAATAGAATGTCCAATTATTGATAAAAATCGATCCGCTTTTCTACCGGTCAAGCTGTATATATATAGAATCCATCCATGTAAACCTCGATGTCACTTTTGCAGCCTCGCTCCGCTCGGCTGCAAAAGTGACATCGAGGTTTACATGATGGAAAATATTCCAAATCATAAGAAATTGAACAGTGATATTTATTATTTTACCTTCACTCGTACTTAGAAATCATGCTACTCTTATTGTAAGTTCATTGTTTTTTGTTTCACGGTGTAAACTCCTTTTTTTTATTTAGGTATCCTATTCAATTTCTATCGTCACCATATGGAGAGGTCAGGCCCATATCATAAAACATTAAGTTTGGACTTACTAAGACATGTAAGAATTACCTTGCTTGTATAGGGGCATTAAATACTTTTAGATGCTAAAATCTTCAAAATTAATTTAATTTGATATTCAAAATATGCACGAAAACGTAAATAAATACGGATCTAGCTCTCACATATCTCTATTTTAAGCATTGATAAGTATTTCTACATTCTATTTTAAAAAATATTCAAATTTCACAGTATTCTTTTCATTGATAATCTACATATTAACGAGAATGATATAACTTTTCATGTGTTTAGAAGTTCTTAGCTTTAGTACTGTATTGTTGAAAAAATTATTGAAGACTTTTTTCTTTTTGAGAAATTAATGCAATAACCAAAGAGGAATTGCATATGCTGCGCACTAAAATTATAGAAATGTCTCTAATTAGACACAAATAGAGATATTCGGAAATAAAAATTTGAAATTTTGATCAAAAACGCTATTTTCTAATCATTTTTATTTTAACTATATATAAAGTATCTTTTTCTATAATTTATACTTGATGGTTTAAAAGACGTTTAGACTCAAAATTTTACTGCATTTCATGTGGTAACTATGCTTTATCACTAACTACCTCCTTGTTTCAACCCTGAACAATATATTATACCTCCCAATGCAGGTATTACTCCAACAAAATTAGCAATTTGGCTATTGTCTAAAATTTTCTCAAAGAAAGAGGAGTAAAGTCCCATTTTTAGAATTCGAGTTATATTAGAATGCAACTTAGACAAAAGGTTACAGTTTCAATACACATATTCAAAAAATTTGCATTCGAAATTTAAGATAAAGTACAATTTCCAAAAAAGAGTATCGAATCAGTGCACAAATATGCATTTACATGCTTATACTAGCTTGCACTAGTATTAATAATTTTGAAATTAATTTTCAAATTATTCCCATACCTTTTGCAAAATTATTATGCTTATGATTCTAAGCATAGTTAAGCGATCTCGAATTTGAATTACTAAGAAAAAATAATTAGTAAAAAATTTGTCTATGCATTCTGTATGATGCTACTAACTATATTAGCAGCATACCTAAAATCTTTTCAATATTTTTGAGGGAATTTGAATGGTACCGGTTGAGAGCTTTTTTAATTAAGGTACTATTTCGATAGAATTTGAATAGTACCCCTTCAATTTTGTGAGGGACCCCTTTCATTTTTTGAATAGGGTACCTTAAATGAAAAAAGGACCTTAATTTAATATTTGATTGTTGCATGCTAAGTTCGGTCAATGATAGAAATTGAGTGGAAATTAATCGTCGAGGAAGTACGATTATGTAAAGTAAAAAATGTTGTGGGATTTTTAATATTATATATTATTTTATAATAAAATTTTTTTGAGTCATTTTAAGAAGCACATATAATTTTTTGAATTTAAAAATTAAAGTAGTGTCAAACGAATTTATCACTTAATTTAATACTCAGATTTCTTAAAATTAATGAAAAAAAGGTTTTCTGAGAACTTTTGAGAATGGTTTTCAAATTCCATTATTGAAAATATATAGGTATTGTATGAAATTCAAACTCTATATTTATTAAAATTCTAAATTTTTAATAAAATAACTTTTCAGAGGAGTATGATTTTGAATGGTTGATTAATAAGTATAAAAATGTCTACGATTTTAAGGAGGGAATTGTTCCTTATGAGGTATACATCATAACTATATACCTCATAAGGAACAATTCCCTCTTGATAGCTGGGAAACTTTCTCTGAATAACTTATCATTTGGAGAAAGTTTCCCAGCTATCTATTAGAAACTAAAGGCTGTGAGGCACTAATATATAATCAGTGCCTCATATCCTTTAGTTTCTTATTAAAAACGAGAAAACTTGTTCGAAATGATAAACAATTTCGAACAAGTTTTCTCATTTTAAGGAGGGAATTGTTCCTTATGAGGTATACATCATAACTATATACCTCATAAGGAACAATTCTAGGGTTGTTAGATTCCCGACGATAGGTGTCTTGGAAGATTTACCTGGTGTCATCATAGTGTCTTTAAATCAAAAATTTTATTTTGGAGTTAGTTTTATTGATTTTTCAATAAAAAAAATTTCTAAAACAAGAAAATAAAACGATAAAATATTTATATTTTATATAAGGATCTTATATATTTAAAATAAATATCATTTTATTTTTTTCATTGGTGTCTGTCAAACCATAATACACTATTCAAAAATTCAATGTGTCTTGCGGTTTCAAAAGACACCTTCAAATTGAACGATAGCACAGACACTATTGAATTTTACCCATTGTATTTAGTTTTTACCCTTTTTATTTTTAAGAATTAATGACTGAAACAGCCGTTTTGCTATGACCTCAATCACTTTTATTTATTATTTTAAATATTATTTAATTTTATTATTTGAATAGGCCAACTTATATTTGAGAAGCTCAATTTGAGACCACTTAATACATTGAAATATCATAAATATTGAAATATTAAAAAGTGTATTTCAAAATATTGAAATTATAAAATTTATAATACTGAAATTGAGACAAATTAATAAATTCAATGCGTTTTTTTTGAAATAACTCTCAAATATTATTTTTTGTTTATTTAATGATGAATAAATATGATTGCTTTAGTCATCATAAAAACTAATTTAAGTTTAAAATAATGAAAGGATAATTTGATCGTTTTTTAAAATACAATTATTTTTGATGATTTGCAAGAATCCTTGAAAAGAATATAATATAGGTTCTATTTTTGTAAAATTTATCCAAATCATTTATTACATAAATTACGATTAAAACAATGAAAGAACCAAAAAGTGTGTTTTATGTTTTGTTGTTGCGTGTTGGATGCGGGATCCTGTTATTTCCGAAATCGACAAAAAATTTGGAAATTTAATTTCCGAAATCGAAATTATATTAATGTTTTTAATATTCTTATATCAAAAGGATTAAAGTTCATTAAGAGAAAAACAATTCTTCTTCTTCAATCTATTGGCGCATTTATTTCTACACGCCAATAAGGAAGGGAAAATTATAAGACATCATGGTGTCTTCAAAACGCTAATTTTTGATATTTTTAACAACCCTAAACAATTCCCTCTTGATATCCTGGATATTTTTGAATATATTTTTTTAATTAAAGTTCTCAAAAGTATTATCAAAGTGATTTTTTTAAAATATCTCCAATTAATTAACTAATTAAAAGTATTATATTTTTAAAATTAAATAGTTTTTCAATTTTTTTGAAGGAATTGAGATACTTCCCACGACAATAAAATTGAGAGGTTTACATTATGACTGATCTTAGCATGCAACATGATTGCCTGAATATCCGTATTTTAAGCATGAATTTTGTTAAAATATAATTAGAAGATTTATTTTTTGAATTAAAATCTATTTGTAATGATATTGGCGTTAATTTTTTGCCAACATTTTGGCGTTAACCAACAATACTCAATTAGATTGCAACCCTCTTGACGTCCTTATCAACGAAAATAACCTAGCGCAGATACAGATTCTTGATAATGTTGAACTTTTAGCAGTTGAAACGTATAATGATACTATGAATTATTATCAGCTTGCTTGTTCTCGCGGAAGATATGAAATAGTACAATATCTTGATGAAACATGCAATTACTTACACTTATTCCTTGACAAAGAAGGAAATAATCCATTTCATATTGCTGCCATGGCAAACAGCGACGATGGGATTAGGACAATGCAATTCTTTATGGAAAAATATCAAAATTTACTTATTTTACAAAGAAATTTTAAGAAGCAAAATGTGATTGAAATTTGTAAGGAAAAAAATTGCGATAAAACATTGGATTTCTTGTTAAAGTATAGTGTTGACAAATTATTTTCAGATACAAAGCCATCACATCGAGGAAGAAGAAAATCAACTACCCATTCAAAAGTTTCCAATTCAAATGCAGATCAAACCCAAAATCAGATTGAATATTATAAGAAACAGTTGGAAGAAAAAGAAACTACAATTAAAAGACTTGAAAACATAATAAAAAACCTCCAAGTGCAAAATGATGATTTTAAAGCGAAAATTAATGTTTTGGAGCAAGATAATCAAAGACTCCAAGCACAGATTGATAAATTGAATAATGATATTAACGTCCGTGATAATGAAATTGCTGCCTTCCAATATCAGATCATCGAAAACAATAATGGCATCGCCGAGATTAATAATGAAAATAAGAAACATAAAAAACATATTGATAAATTGCATAAACCATCTCGCCGAAGATCTGTTCCTCCTAAACAAGAGAGCAATGATAACTCACAACTACCAACAGGAGTTGCTGAAGGAGAGCCTCCAAAATCAAAAGGACGGAAAGTAAGACGACGAGTTGGTGATTAAGTTTTGGTTCAAAAAATACAGATGACAATAGACGCTTATAATTTAGTAAATAAAGATTTGTAATTATTATCTATTAGTTAACATGTAACTTTTTAAACAAAGAAAAAATACACGAAAATCCTCTTAGTTATGATTTTTTTTTTGTTATTTCATTTCAATTGTAATTGAATTAATTTATTACTAGAAAAGAATAACAAAATTTATGTAGCTTTCATACTAAATGATGATTGTTGAATTTCAGAAAAAAATTAGCTTGTTTTGATCTAAATTTCGTATATCTTAAATTTTTAAAGCAGATATACCAAAATAATACAATATGAAAGAAGAGGAATCGATCATTTATTTTTTCGGTATGTTTTATCGACAATTTCAACAAATTGTGTTTCATGTTCAGTAATTATAGAATTTATCCATTATCATTATCAACAATACAATTCCAAATCCCAAACAATTTTCAATAATTATTGATTTGAAGTTCAAAACATATATGAAATATATTACACAAGCTATTTAAAGAGAGAATTTCCAATTTCTACTAAAAATCAATTTCCCCGCGTAATTAATCGGTTTCTTCTCAATTTTTCACTGTAAACTAAATAGCTAAATGAGAGGGCAGCGAGGCATTCCATATGCTCAACCTCCAGTAGCTGCCGAATATGCCCAGAAAGATTGGTATGCAGACCCAGCTTATGCATCCCAAGGCGCAGCGCCATATTATGCCGCTGGTGGAGCACCACCAATGATGCTTTCTCAATATCCAACTCAGCCAATAACCTACCAAAGCTATGCACCATATTCTCAGGGAATTCAAACTCCTCAACCATATTTATATTCTCAATTTAGACCTGAAGCAGGTTACTATCCTGAAGATCCTCAACTTATGATATACAGACAGCCTGTTGCAGTTCCTCCAACTGCAGTGGCCCCACCACAACCAGCTCCTCCGCCACCTCAGATGCCACCTCCACAGCCTGCAATGCCTCCCCAAGCCCCGCCAAGATCATTTCAGAGTACTCCCCCTCCTCCACGAGCAATCCAACAGCCTCCTCAACCAACACCACCTGCACCACCGCCAAGGGTTGAAAAAGCAGATATTCAACCCATGTCCAATGCTAGTACGATAGACGTTAATACACAGCCTCGCTTCGACAACTCTAAATATCCAATTCCAGGCTGCTTCTCAATTATTCAGCGAGGAAATATACCGGGAATCGAATCAATTATTTTCTAGGTTTGTATTTTAATATGTTTTCAGAAAAAAATATTTTGTACTAGTATTGTAAATTAAAAAAGAGTCTTTTCTTACTCAACGATATTACTCTCAGGCTCCCTTTTTAACTACAGGCTTTCCGTATATTTTATTTATAATGTTGTTCGATTGGAATATTTCTATCATCATTCGCATTTTCGAGACGATGCAATTATAATCCTAAACCCTTGTTCGGAATAACCCATTTCCTTTTGCAATATATTTGTCTATTTCGCCGAGAATACCCTATTTCGGATAAAGATTTGTAATCAGATATTAAATCACATACATTTCTTATTACATAACCATTCGCACTCACTCAGAACGATTATTGTAAAAATAATTTTAGTTATTTATGTCAGTCCAATTCATTCATATTCGTAGACTTAAAGATGGCTTGATTCTTGCATCAACAACAGATGATGAAACATCTCTCCAAAGCATAATAAATGAAGAGGAAAAGTTAATAAAACAAATATCACAAAGATCTGCAAAAACATTAAGTTTTCCAACATCAAATGGATCAATTCATATTTGCATTGATGATCAGGCTTATGCTGTTTGCTCAACAAGCCGCGAATTCGATACAACTATGGCCTATGATCTCAATGATGAATCTTTAAGGAATTTTATGATAGATTACAAAGATTCAATCGATGCAGTTGAATCTAAATACGCTTTTATGGACTTTTCTACAATTTTAGATTCAATCAGATCTCGCTACGTAAAAACAGCAGCAAATGGAAAGGTTTATAAACTAAAGAAAGATTTATACGAAGTAGAGTCATCCATGGCTAACAATCTTAAGTCAGCAATAGCTAGAGACGATAAAATTAATGAAGTTGGCCAAATGTCTGAAAATCTTTCAAGAAATTCCGGAATTTTCGCGAAAAAGTCGAAAGATCTCAATAGATTACATTTCTGGCGTACTTATGGAAGACCTGCTGTCATTGTCTCAATTGTTGCCTGTGTTTATCTACTTGTTCACTTCGTTATTCTCTAAATGTTCAAATCTCTTCAATTACCTTTTACTTTTTACTTTTTTATTCATAAAATTTTTAATATTTTTCTTTCGTTAAATTATATCATAGTGTTGATACTTCATTCGTATATTTCAAGTGTTTTCCCGTTAATTATATGCTTTTAATAAGATAACCGAGAAAATGATTTTAATTTTCTTAATTTCAAACTCTGTAACAAAAAATTTAAACGCAAAATGATAGTTATTTATTCAAACAAGTAGAGATGCTTCGGTTATAGATTCTTCTTTAGGTTTATTATTACAACATTGACAGCACCTCAATTTAATCAGAGAATATATCAGAGAGGTAAGGAAAACTAAGGCTGTAATGGCGTTCATAGTATATTTAATTGGCATTTCGTTAAATTCTGTTGAAATTTTTGAATAAATATCGTGTCTTGTATAATTTACATTTTCCCATTCAACAGAAAGTCCATTCTGAGAAAATTCTTTGGAATTCTTCAAAGTTGATCCAGCAATAAAATTGAAACTTATCCTATCAAACGGAGCTTGCGATAATTGCAATATACCTGGCTTGGAAAAGTTAACAACTGAGCCATTCATGAGATTAAAAGTTGAATACTCGGCAATATCAGAATTATTTGTTTCGCTTGTATAAAATGTAAGAGGATATCTCTTTGGGTGTTCTAAATCCGAAATTTCAATTCTTGAATCAGATCCGAAGTCAATAAAAGATAAATAATCTGTAGTTAATCGAACATTTTTAGCGTAATAAGCAGCACCAGTAGAATCAGCAATAATGTATGCATAATCTCCAGGAACTGGAGAAAACCAAAATGTGATATCGCAATCTTTGCCTGAACATTTAGCAGAAATATTCTGTTGGGCTATGTATATGCATTTTCCTGGTTTGATACTATACTGTTTTCCATCACTACTTGTCAGTTCAACGGAGGAAGTTGATTTTGAATGCAAATATATCCCAAAAGTGAATATTTCGCTATTGCTCATCCAGTGTGTTTCATTTTCAGATAATCTGCATCGATCGAAATTAAAATTTTGATAATTATCTTTGCATTTCATAAACATAAGAATTGATAAAATCATTTTTATTGAATTAGAAAAATTGACATTGATCAATTGACTTAATTTTGACATTCTTCACTAATTCGTATTTAAATGCAATTTCCAATAGGAAACATTAATTATCAATTCAATTTGATTTTCCAAATTATTTTACAAGTTTTGTTGTGCAAATAACATTTCTTGATGCATAATAATCATTTGAACAATATATTTTTACTTTTTAGAATTCTATTGATTTCGAATTTAATTCAAATTACCAATATCAGTATCTAAATCATCTAGACATACTCATATTAATATGATAAATTTTAATACTTAATCAGAATATGTCTAATCAATTCGATATTTGTAGTTAATTGCTGCACCTTCCATTCATTTATAACCAAAATCAGTCACTTTACTTGATAATATCTCTTAGTTTAAGAAACTTCTGAAATATAGAGAATAATTAAGATAAAAAAAGGAGAATCTTTAATACACAAATAAAATAATAATAACAAAAGAAAATTAATCTTCAAGTTGAAGTTTGACCAAATCGTAATAAGAGCCTCTCTTACTTACAAGTTCCTCATGTGTTCCTGACTCAACCAACTCGCCTGCATCGAACACATAAATCATATTTGCACTTCTTATTGTTCCAAGTCTATGAGCAACGATGATTGAAGTTCTTCCTTTCATAACATTGTCCAAAGCTTTTTGAACTTTCTTTTCAGAAACAGCGTCCAAAGCTGCTGTTGCTTCATCAGTTATCAAGATCTTCGGATTCTTTACAACAGCGCGTGCAATTGCAAGTCTTTGTCTCTGTCCACCACTCAAGTTCATTCCTTTTTCGCCAATGGAAAAGTTGTATTCTTGTGGCAGTTTTCTTATGAATTTGTCAGCATTTGCAATCACTGCTGCTTGAACAACTTCTTCATCTGTTGCGTTTGGAGCTCCGTACTTCAAGTTCTCTTTGACAGTCATAGTAAACAAAGCGGAATCTTGTTGTACAACACCAATAGATCGATGTAAAAATGATGGAGAATATTCCCTGATGTCTTTTCCATCAATTAAAACTTGGCCTTCGTTTACATCGTAAAATCTCATTAACAATTGAACAATTGTACTTTTTCCACTACCACTGTGTCCAACGAATGCTGATATCTCTCCAGGTTGAACACAGAATGATACATTCTTGAGAATCCATGAATCTCGCGTTGGATACTTGAACCAAACATTTTTGAATTCAATGTCACCTTTTATGCTTTCTGGAGCGATTCCTTCGTAAGGATCTATCTTTATTGGGTCTTCTACTGTCTCCCAGATTCTGTCTGCTGAGTCCCATGCTCTTACTTCACGGTTTATACTACCCATAATCATCATTAACTCAAAACCGAACATACGAGTAGCTCTGATGATGGCGAGTAAGTCTCCAACACTTAGTTTGTCATGCATGATGATGTAGCCTCCCAAAGTAATGATCATTGAGAGAGTTCCGGAATTTATTAAACTTCCTGTTTCAAAAGCTGAAAAGAAGAGGCGATGCATGGTTTTATGATGGTAAGCAGCTTGAGTGTTAACGTGGTTGAATCTCTCTGCTTCGTTCTCTTCTTGATTATTCGAATAAACAACTCTTGGATTGCTAATTATTTCATCGAACACTGTTACACCAACAGATTGGACAATGGATCTAGCTCTCATATGCTTTCCACCTTGCTGACGGAAGAATTTAAGAATAACTGCAATTATCACTGAAACTGACAGCGAAAGCATAGTAAGCTCTAGGTTTATTCTCGCTGATACAATGACTGCGGATACTAATTGGCCGATAGCTTTCACTTGATTCACTTTTGATTGTTCAAATACGCCTTCGATGGCCATTGAATCATCATTAAGTAAATTTAATAATTCACCAATACTTCTTCTGTCGTAGAATTCAATATCTTTCTCCATGTATGATTTAAAGAGCAATCTTTTAATTTTAATTCCAATAATAGAACCAATTTGAATCCAAAATGCAAAATTGCAGAAGCTAAGTATTGCGCAAAAGAAAGCAAAGATGAATGTTAATAATGAATATTTTCTAATCAGTGGAATTGGATTTTCTTCGCCTAAAGCATCAACAATTTTGCCCATATATACGTAAGCTTGAATCAATATGAATCCGTTAGTTGCTGCAGGTAAAAATATCAAGAAGAAAAGTGGTTTTCTATAAAAAAACCAATACATTTTGTGGATAAATGGTAAAAATCTATGTTTGGAACGATGGGAATGAACAACCTCGGTCTGTGGAACAGTTTCTTCTTGATTTTGAAGTAATAGTTCTTCACCAGTTTCGTTTGGTGCAGACATAAATTTGCTTGAAAAATTTTCTAAAAAAATTCGATCTAAATTCAATGTAAGAAATTAAGACGAAAGTTAGACATGAGGGTAAAAATTTATCCACACAAATGTGGTATTGTTTTGGTTATAAACAATGACGATTATTTTATCGGAATAATCGTTCACATTATCCAACAATAAATTTAAAATAATTTGTTTACCTCCATATATAATATGTCTTTTAACTTACTGATCTGAAACCGAAAATAATAGTGTCAAAAACATTGTGAGTGGAAAATGTGTGGATTTTTTTATGCTCCTCTGTCATGAGCGACATCATTCAATGCTTTATAAAAGTGGTACAATTCCTTTCTTTACAATTCTATTCAATTAAAAGTAGTAGATGAGTGCGGGTTTAGTGACTTTTTTTGTTACATCTATATATAGACGATGCATTAAAATATATTTATTTATAAATCATTAAAAAATTAACATTAATTTTAAAATAATTTATTTTTTTATCTTTTATAAAAGAAGCTATATATAGATGATGTCAGATATTCCGCGATTAATTAAACATTGTTTAAATCCTGAATGGGTTAAACTTCAATTTAAAAATGAAGATTGTGAATTATTAAATGAATATGAAAGCCAAAATAAGCTAATGAGGTATAAATATAATGATAAAGAATATTTAATTTCATGGAATCAATGGAGTCATAATCAAAGACCTCATAAACGAGAAGAAGAAATTGAAAATAATGAAATGGAAATCATTGATGACATTAAAGAGGATGGAATTCCTAAATTTTGTAGAAAAACCTTTAGAACTAAGTTAGGAGCATATAAACGTAGAGTATTAAATCCTGAATATCTTAAACATTTATTTAAAAAGGAAGACTGTGAATTATTAAACGTTAATGAATATGAAAATGCAAAATCAAAACTGAGATATAAATATATTGGAAGTGATGAAAGATGTAAAGATAAAGATAAAGTTTATACAGTTTCATATAATAACTGGCACACGTTAGGGATAAGAAAACATTTAGGAGATTATGGTAAAAGTTCTGAATTCTTTAAATCTAGTATATACGAGAGAGTAAAAGAAATCAGATATAATTATCATTCATGAATAAAAAATAAACTTTAAAAATTCATGTCTTACATTTTTTGAATAATTTATTTTTTTAATTCGTATGAAAATGAGTGTCAAGACTAACGACGTTAAAAAATTGGGATTCACAAACGAGGAAATAAAAAATATATTAGAGGAGGCGAGTTATGAAGTTAATAAATATTATTTAAGAAATTGTCAAAAATTCGCGGAGTTATTAAATGATTTAGATTATGATGGAAAAATGAATAAAGATGATGTTATAAATTTCTTATATCCCACATCTGAAGAAGAAAAACCTAAAGAACCTGATGTTTTCCCTGAATATTATGAAGAACGGATTAAAGATGATGAATATGATGAAATTGAAAGACTGGAAAAAATAAGAGATGAAATAGATGAAAAAATTAAGGAATTAAGAGAAGTTGAAAAATATAATGAGAATGAAGTAGAGGGTTTAATGAATATCCCAGCTTCAGAATCAGAAGTTCAAAAATCTCATGAAGAAAGATATAAAAATTACTTTTTGGAATCTACTAAAAATTTATTAGATGGTGAAATAGATGAAACACTTTCAGAAGAAGGCACAAAATTTATTCATAAACATAAGTTACAATTTATTGACGATGGAGATTATCCATGTATATTACTTTCACCTCCTCTTGATTCTGAAAAATTCAAAAAAGCACTGAAAAATGTAACATATGCAACAAATACGATTAAGAAAGAAGACCATGATATTTACACAAATTATTATTTAAATAAATGTGCAGGTGTTGATAAAGTTTTTGATTTGTTAGATAAAATATCAAAAGAAACAATTGGTACATATAAAATTTTATGCGATTGTGGTTTCATTATTGAAGATACTAATAATGTTTCATATGAAAGAACAGCACCGAAGGAAGACGAAGTTGAAAGGTCTATACCATTCGTTATTAAGAATATAAAAGATATGAAAACTTATAAACATTATATTTATTCATTTATTTCAGAAAAAATGGAAGCAACCCATAAAACATCATCTCATCATTTTATAGCTATTCATACATTCCTTTTCAAAGTTGTGAAATTAAATAAGACAGGAATTAGATTTAATGTATCAGGGTACGCATTCTTGAGTAAATTAAAATGTATTCGTCACGTCGCAGATGATAAAAATTTATGTGTTCTTAATTCATTTTATGGACTTTAGCCCTGGACTTTAAAAAAAATAAACTTTATTTTTATTTATTTTTTAATTTTTTATTCTTACATAAATGAACAAAAACGGAACAGCTAAAATGAATGATAATCAAATAAGAGCCGAAGGTAGAAGGTTATTTAAACGCTTCTATAACATTCCTGATGGTGTTAATCCTAAAACTCGTAGAAGTTATTTAAATGAAGCCATAGATGCATATGAAGGATTTGACATTTCATCAGAAAGTGAGAGGTTAGCAAGAATGTTAAACGTTAATATTGATTTTTATTATTGTGACCCTCAACCAGAAGACGTAGACATAAATAAGGTAGACTTTCCATTAGTGGAATCAATAATGATAGATCCAGAATTTGAAACAGTAAATATTTTATTAACACAGAGTCCATGTGGAAAACTTCACGCTGACAGAATTACAGACGTTGAAGCACTCACAGGATATAAAGTTTGCCCCTTTTGCAAAGAAGAAGTATATTCTATCCGTGATGACCCAGAAAGGAAAAACCAAAGAAGATTTTTAAAGCATTGTGAGAAATGTAAAGAAAATAATGGAAGATTAATTCAAGACGTTCAATTGCAAAACACACAACAACCATATGCACCACATATCACGAAACAGAAGATATATCAATGGCTATTAGCTCACAATTTGCAGGAATATTATAAACCAACAAGATATTATATTACTTTTGACTTCGAAACATTAGAGACTAAAGAAGAACTTCAACTTTCTGAATGTGCAACTTTGAACGCTTACTTAAAACCATTTATGGTATCATCAACTGTCAAAATAAAGCCGCAAACGGACTCTTTGAGTCCTGAAGGTCTTTCAGACCGAAGCGGCGAGGTCGTAGACCGTGATAAAACATTTACGAGGAATTTTTGCTTAACATCAAGTGATTCGTTCATCTCTGATTGGATTGAATTTTTATTTTCAACCTGTTCATTAGTTGCTAAATCAAATATTGAACAATATGAAGAATTAATGAAGCCGCAAACGGACCAAACGGCGGGGACTTTGTCCCATACATTAAATGAAAAACAGAAGGAAGCATTTAAAGAACTTCTAGATGAGGAATTCAATAAAGTGAATATCATAGGTTTTAATTCGGGAAAGTTTGATTTAAATTTAATTCTTCGTGATTTAAACACTGCAAAATGGAAAATAAAATCAATGCTGGGTTCTTCTTCTCAATTTAAGCAAATCATTGTAAAGAAAACAAACTGTCCATATGAATTAAGATTTATTGACATCAGAAATTATATAGCGGGTGGAACATTAGACCAATTCACTCAAGATTTCGGAAACAATAAATCACGTGTTAAATCCTTTTTCCCTTATCAATTCATCACATGGGAGAATTACGAAGATGAATTATATAAAGTGGAACCATTCACTCAAGATTCATTTTATTCAGCATTAACTCAAGAAACAATATCCGATTCAGATTATCAAATATATCTCAATGATGCTAAAAATTTTGAGAATAGATTAGAATATTTTATTCATTATTGCAATAAAGACGTTGAAATTATGATTGACCCAATTGATAAAATTATTGAAGAAACATTTGTTTATAAAATTGACATGCTTCATAATCTTTCTTTATCATCGAATGCATCAATGATTCGTTACGCGTTAGCATATAAGAACTTCAATCCTAACGAAACATATCCAGAAGAAGAAAATGTGGAATCAAGTTTTGAATTAACAAAAAAGTATTGGAAATATAAAATTGATTCATATAAGAAACAAGATGAAAAAGCAGAAAGGGATACTAAAAACAATGTTTCAATGGATGACTATCAATACTATCACGATTTAATCCTTTCATCTAAATGCAAAATGTGTGGTAAAGCGTTTACATATGCTAATAAACCAACATTAGATAGAATCGATAATGAAAAACCACATACCAAAGAAAATTGTCAGTTAATGTGTTGTTATTGCAATGTCGTAAAATCAAATAAAGATGAAGATGTTCAACGTTTAAGAATCAATTTAAGAAATTATACATTAAAAAATAATTTACCAATGACTCTAGATTCAGTTGAAGCTTATCACATCCTCCGTAATGGAATTACTGGTGGTTTATCAAATGTTCAACATAGAGTAAATCTTAAAGGAATCACGCACATTAATAAACTTTCATATAATCCAGAAACTAAAACTGTATCAAATGAGGACACTTCCAACATTATGACTCATTTCGTTGGTGTTGACTTTAATTCATTATATCCTTCATCATTTTCATCTAATCCTCATGATTTCATTCAATATACTGACCATAAAATGTATATGCCGGGAAGATTGAATGGTGTTATCATTTGTGATACAGCAACAAAGAAAGCAAAAGCACTGGGAATAATTAGAAGAAAAATACTTTATTCGTGGCTGAAGTAAAGGGTCACATTGATGAAAAATACATTAATGATTACATAAACTTTTTACCAATAATAAGAAACTTAGATATTATCACAGATGAAAAAACAATTGGCAGTTTTATGTATAATTACATGAAATCAAACAATCTACCAGTTGACCAGAAACAGAGAGAAAATTAACTCAGTTAGCATCAACACACAACCAATATCAACCATTTTCTTCTTATTATCTTTGGTATCTAATAGACAGATTTCATTTTATCATTGATGACATTCAATCAATTTTAACATTTACGAAAAATACTTGTTTTAATGAATTTGCGAACG